AATGTGCAATGTACACATGAATCATTTTACATGTTTTGGTTATTTTTCAGTCCGACTGAAAGCAAACACCAAAATTAGCCATTTGGAGCGGCCATGTTGCCTACTGCTGACTGCATTAGCACTCACTACAGTAATATTTCAACCTGCTCTATTTTGCATCTCTCCACCTTCAATGTAGAGATTCTGGTTAACAAAGAGTCACACAAAACATTGAGGCAAAAAGCCCTTTCAAAAAATATGATTTCGACATTGAACATTTACACCAAATTAGCCGTTTGGAGCGGCCATTTTGCTAACAGCTAACTGCAGTCTTGTTGACATGACTATTGTGTCTCTGGATGATGCTAGCTTTGTAGTTTCTGCCAGTTGACTGTCACTGAATTAGCATGATTTAAACATAATTCATTCAAAATGTTTGTTTTCAGTCCAACTAAAGACTAAACATATAAATTAGCCATTTGGAGTGGCCCTATTGCTCACTGCTAACTGCATTAGCACTCACCATAATTGTATTTCAACCTGCTGTATTTCCTGTTGTTTCTCACATCTCTATGCTAATGTTGCACTCTCCATTGCCATTGCAAAGATTCTAAAAAATACAAAATAAGTCACACAAAACATTGTATATTGAGGCAAAAAGCACTTGCTAAAAAAGTACTATTATACGATTTTAATGTTAAACTGTTTTTATCAATGTGTCTGAGAGTAAACACAGAAATGCACATTTCCGTTGTGCCTCCATGGGACACGGTCATTTTTGAGTACCCACTTGACCATCAACATGATTTAAACGGGAATGATTTGAGATGGTTTGCTTACAGACCAACTAAAAAGGCAAACACTGAAATTTGTGTAGTTAATTTTGCTAACTGTTAACTACATGAGTGCGAACCATAGTTTTATTACGGTCCAATACATTTCCCGTTAACTCATCTTACTTTCACTGTAAAGATTCTGTGGAAGAGGAGCGGCACAGAACATTGTGTATTACAGCAAGAAGTACTTTCTGTGAACATGGTATCTATGTTATTCATTTTTATTGCATTTGCAGTGATTCTAAGAGGAAATGCAGATATGATCTATACAGTCTTGCCATTAGCCGCACATTACAGACAGCTTTCTCCTACTCTTCGCTGTCTACATGTCACCATTTTAAAAATCCCCTTCACTGCCTCCAAGCAGCATCCAACCGCACTGAAAATATCATGTTTTGAAGGTATGAATCGTGTAACAGTGCTTACCTCCCTGTATGCAAAGGCTCCAACATTATTAATTTAATGGGACACCATCGCTGCATCCAGGGCTGAGCACCGTCGGACACAACTGCAATTGGTTTGATGAAATACAAACCACGCAAGACTAATGGGACGAGAAAACCTTTTTCTAAAGAGTTCATGGTGTCAAATGTTAATTTCAAGTCTCCTTCAATACAGAATGGTGTTCATTTGTATTATGGCCCCATTTAGACTAAAATAGATGAAGTAATGCTTTAGAACAGGGACAAAGTTCTCACTTGTCATGTCTGGTTTCAAAAGATGGCAAATGCCAAAGTTGAAGCTTCTAAAGTCCACAAACCAAAAGGTGACCTCATGGTGGCTTCATCCATCACTTCTATGGTCTCTATGGGTTATACCAATTTAACACTCTCTTCCTCTGTCGTAGAGATTCTCTGAAACAAGGTGTTGCACAAACAGCTTGTATCAGGGCAATAAAGCAAATCATTCTAATAGTTTGTTGTAAGTCTGCTAACTTCATTCACTGGTTCGTTTACATGTGAGAGTCAACTTACATCTACACATTCTAGGTATTTCCCCAGATTTAAAGTGTTCATGGATGCTTAAATAAACTCATGCAGATTATTTTAAAGATTCAACACGAGCATACGTGTGGTAAACGTTCAGTCTGAAATTATTCTAATCCATCTTTGTAGCAGTAGCTCAGCGGCTGAGGCTTCAGGCTACGGCTCAGAAGGTCAGGGATCCGAGCTGCACAACCACCAAGCTGCCACTGTTGGGCCCTCGAGCGAGGCCCTGAATCCGATCCGCGCTCTGACCGCAGATTGCAAACAAGCTGAAGATATGCAAAAACACAACTTCCCTCGCAGGATCAATAAAGTATATAAATAGAATGAAGAATACAATCGTACACACCAGATGCTGCCGCGTCGACGCCTCGCAAGCAGACTGTGCAGAGAGTTGTTTGTTTTTAGCGATGACAACACTTCTTGATTTTTTTAAAGAAATAAAATGTTAATATTAAATATATTTTGCTGGTATTTATTCATCCTATTGATTTTTATTTTATGGATTTATGGAGTGAACAAAACAAGGCAGTTAGCCAAGTAGGCGGCTAATTTCTGAGTTTCAGTTCGACTTGGAAACAAACAAATAAGTTAGGTTTTCTTGGGAAGCTCGAGGGAGTTTTTGTTCCGACATACGTTGTTTTGTATCTATTTTCCCACAATCTCCACGACAGAAGCGGAGAGTGTAAAGTTAGCCGGAGCCGTACGGACACGACGCACACAGCAACCGTTAAAATAAACTGGAATTATCCCTTAAGATCGAGCCATTAAAGCTGCATTACTTGATTTTTTTGGCAACCAGGCAACACTGACGCATTATCACCTTGTAAAAAAGAGCGTGTCAGCAAACCGTTCCAGTACATAATAAGCAAAATTAGCATTTTGTTTCTGGCCGCTGGACAGAAGAAAATCCAGTATTTGTTCTCTCTTCTTTTTTTTTTTTAAAGCTCTGGCTGTTCTGCAAAAGTTTCTCGGTTCTTTACAAGCGAGGAGCTGACTTTGTCCCCCGTTTGTACTGCGAAGCAACCAAAACCCTCTAAAGCTGCAGAGTCGGGTGACATTTTCATACCATAACAGTGTTATAAACTTTCTGTTTTCTGTCAGTTTGATGTGCTTCGGGTAGACATTTACAAGTAAACTTAATTTACTTGGACACAACTATAGGCTTTACATCAGCTGCTGATCGGGGAAAATACATATATTGATCCGAGTGTGAAGAAATGTGCCAAAAAAAAAAAAACCCTCACAGTTCAGGCTCTCTTTAATGAACGTGTGCACCTGCTGAGAAAATAAAAATATGTCAAAATCAACATTTTAATGGCTGGAGTGAAATTATTGAATAAAACAAAGTGTGCTGGAATCAAATAAATTAGGAGGGAAAAGGAGCTGTTGGGTTCAGGTGGGAAATCGCTGCGTGCCTTTGACTGCCCTCTTCTGGGAATGTCTTTTATTGATATTTCCCATGCAGCAGCCTCGTACTTGCAGAAAACTGCACCGCGTATTGCTGAATAATACTATAAAGTTCCGCCTAATAAGCCTAGCAGTCGTTTTGGACTAATAACGCTCGCTCACACGAACCCCTGTGGGCGGCGGCCAAACGCCAGCTCTGCCTTCCAGCTACTCCTTAAAACAAATAATAATGTTATCATTTGAAAATATGTCAATATCCCGGCCAAAAGTGATAGAATTCCCTCCGAGCCTGCATAAAAAAAGACAGCTTGTGTTTCTCCTCAGACGTCCGGCCCGGCGCAAGATTAGATGCGTTGTAGTGTTTTCTTTGGTTACACAACAGTAGATGTGGATTTATTTCACTGGTGGAAGCTCGTACGTGGTTGTAAACTCAGACCGCAGATTCCAGAGCATCTCGGCCATTTCTGATGTTTTTTTTTTATTAATGCAGCGTTTTTTTTTTGTTTGTTTTTTTTTTCTAGCGAGACAGAACTTTAGGATAAAGTGGGTTTCTTGATAGTCGGGCCTGAGGTTTCATATAAATAGCACTGGAAAGTTTCCAGCAAGAATGGAAAAAGTGGTCAGGGCTCTAGGCAACTGGTTTCATTGTGCTTTATTAACCCTTTGGAGCGTGGAGCGACGGCCGATCGAGAAAAAAGACAAGAAAAGAGCCGTCCGTCAGATTAGAAGAGAAATAATTGCAGTTTCATGTGGCCTAAGGAGCCTTCGTCCAAATGAGATGGTGGATGTTTACTCACAGAAAACAAAGTCCAGACATGACTCAAGGCCTTGAAGCTGCCATGAAACTCGGCCCGTCTGACTTGCAAAGCGAGCTTCGGACTAAGCGTGGAGTTACTAAACAAGATGAATTCCCAACCTCCCAGACGCACACAAAAGAAAAAAAAAAAAAACACTGAGGGGAAGGAGGAGGGAAGAGGAAGGAGGAGGGAGGGCAACAAATTAAATCCAGTTAAATTGTTTTTCCATAGCCAGTGGGCTTGGCAAAGGGCTCACACACACACACACACAAGATGTAAGATAAGTTACAGAAAAGACAAAACCAGAAACAGTGCGGCTTCAGATGTAAGAGAATGCCTGGAATTTAACCCACTTTCCCGTGTCCGCCTGCCACAGCGCCCACTCCCACTGCCCTGCCCTGCAGCCCAGGACGTCCTCGCAAAGACACACAAACAGCCGAGCCTCATACGCAGGTGACTCCACAGAGAGACGGCCCTCAAACGCAACACTCCCTCTTCCCACCCCGAGCTTTGATCGATCGCAGCCCCGAAGAGATGTTCGGTACGGCGCATCAATAACCCAAGGCCCCACAGTCCTCCTGCTCTTACTGTAAACCTGCCTGGCATCGGGTTCACAATGCAGTCACTGCGGAGGAAAGCTGCAGCTCTAGCCCAATTTGAAGCGAAGCTAGGTGGCTAGCAGACATATCTGGGTCATGTCTTCCCTCTTCGAGAGCTCCCAGGTCCGGGCTACAGCGGCAACATGGAGAAACCTCAGCTCAGCACCAGCGAGGAAGAAGAGGGGTGGTGGTGGTGGTGGTGGTGGTGGTGGTGGTGGGGAAACGGCATGGTTGGCCAGGAATAGCTTAGCTTGAACTAAAAAAAGTTGGGACAGTATACAAGGACCAGGTGGTGATGCTGAAAGGAGAAATAAGGACAAGCAGCATCCCTTTGCTTTTGCAATAAATAAAGAATGAAACAGATGAGAAACACACAGGAACACGGCACTAGGCCTCGTTTTTTTTCTGTTCACGTCTTTATAAAACGACAACAAAATGTACATTCAGATCTGTCAAGTGACAGCAGGAGAGTGTCAGAATGAGGAACATGAATAAACAGTGGATGCGGTGCCCACACAAGTGCCTCTGCTCGCCGATAGTGAAGCACAGCTGTCCCTCTCCACACAGGTGAAGTGCAGGTAACCGAGACAAACTGACTCACGACGTCGCAGCCGCTCGATCTTAAAATCGACTACAGCCGGAGCGACCAGCGAAGCTTCCTGCAGAACAATCCCTTTATCAGAGCAGGTCTGGCTGGACGATGAAACGAAGAACAGACTGAGATACGAAGGGGACATTTTACGATTTAAAGTCCAACTGAAATCAGAACTACCTGTCAGATTTTTACATCGGGGCAAAATAATGATAAAATGTGCTGCTCTGCTTGTACCCGTCTCTTATTGAAAGGACATTTATGATTTAAAGGGTTCAAAAATGGTATCAGAGTAAACACACAATGTTAGCAAAGCACCACCACTAAAGACGGATAGCATTTTGTTAGCAGTGATAATGAGGAGGATTAGGTTTCTGCTAACTAGCTAAGTAGCTATTAGCCTGTAAGCTAATGTTGTTAGCAGTGCACTTCTCCCCTGATGGCTGTTAGCTAATTTAGCAAACCAAGATGGAACAGAAGATGTGCCCATGTATGCACAAGGAAAAGAGGATACTGGCCATAAAGCTTTAACTTAACTGCTAAACACTGCATGACTAAGATGCTAACAGATGCTAATGCTACATTATCAGGACAGCTAATATGTTGTTTAAAGCTGAGGGCTATATTTGTGTAAGCAATGGCATCAAAGAGTAACAAGTAAATAATCCCGTGAAGTTTTTAAGATATAGGCTAACAAGCTATTTAGCTATTAGCCTGTACACTAATGTTGTCAGCGATGCACTTTCCCCCCTGCTGGATGTTTGTTAGCTAATTTAGCAAGTCAGCATGCAATACAAGATTTGTCCATGCACAAAACGAGGACATTAGCAAGAAAGCTAATGTATGTTTGTTGTTTAACGTTAACAGCTATTTTTTGTGTTAGCAGTGGCATAGAAGAGTCATTTTTAACAACCACAATTGGTAGCAACTAAGTAATCCAATGTCAATTTAATAAGTTTTTAAGCTAGTTAGATATTATGAGGCTATTTTTTTTATTTTAGCAGTGGTATAAAAGAGTAACGACCACAATTGGTAGCGACTGAATAATCTAATGCTAATTTAAGAAGTTTTTAAGCTATTAGCCTGAAAATTAATGCACGTTTCCCTTGATGGATGTTTGTTAGCTAATTAAGTGAGTTAGTGTGCAACACAAAATGTACGCATGCTTAGGATGGGCTGGAAAGGCTAGAAGCTAAAAAGGCCAGAAGCTAGAAAGTTGAAGACTGTTTTTTGTGTTAGCAGTGAAATAAAAGACTAATGACTACAGTTGTTTGCAAACTAAATAATCCAATTGATTTTAAGCTTTATGCTCTTTGGCTAACTATCTATTTAGCTGTTAGCCTGTAAACTAATATTGTTAGCAATGTACTTCTCCACTGGTGGATCATTGTTTTGCATTAGCAGTGGCATTAAAGAGTTAGCTTTCTAAAGGTAGCATTCAGCTAATTAGCCAAGTAGCTGTTAAGCCTGCAGTTGTTAGCGATGCACTGTACCTGCAGCTAATTTAGCAAGTCAAGACGCAACACCAGGTGTGTCCATGCATGTACCAGGTCAAGTGGGTGTTAATATAGTTGGAGTGAACAGTTGAAGGCTTTTTTTGTGTGTTTGCGAGCTAAAGAATATACCCCTCTTCCTTCTGCCTATTGATTTTTAGCATGTAAATTACAGCGTAGACTCTTGTAGCAATTTCAGTTTGACCTTAAAACATGCAGTCGACTCAAAAATGTGCAGCAGCCGTTAAAAAGCAGACTGCACATATGTAACTGTGCCGATCATGTGGCGGCGGTGGTGTCGCTGCTGCAATCAGTGTGGAGAGGCTGTTACGTTCTCACTGCCCTGATGTTCTTGTGCCGGCACTATAAGCCAAGGACTTGGAGCTGAGCTATGCTTCAGGGTCGGTGCCATGTCTCTAAGCAGAGATTAAGTGGGAACAGGCAAGGGGGGAGTCTGAAAGAGAGAGAGACAGAGACAGATGGAGGTAGAAACATGGAAAGAAAGGCAGTGCGTGGGAAAAAAAAAGAGAGTACACAAAGCTAGTGGGCCACACGGTGCAGCGCTGTTGACGTCCGCTCCGTCCCATGACACCCGTGTTCAATCTCCCGTCGTAAATCTAAGAAAACTGGGCGCCGTCAGTGTCGTCTCCGCCACACCTGTCTGATTTCTGGAGGAGGGAGGCCGAGGACACCGGCGAGGGGGACGACGTTCTGCGACAGAATCCTGCTGATTTCCCAACAAGAAGGAGGACAGTCGGCGATCAGGTGTTGAGAGTCTCTGAGGATTAAAAGCCTTCCTGAGGAAACTGGGCTCACCGTCACGTCCCCAGTGCGACATCTGCACGAGAGACAACACAACAGTGGTTTTAGTCTGTGTTACAACGAGTCAGTGGTGGCCTCGATAAAGTACGAGAAGACTTAAACAGCTTTTATTTAATAAGAGGCACTAATGGTGCAATAACGATATTATTTACCCAAAAACCTGCAGACAGATTTGAAAGAAATACTAAAAAAAAAAACTGCCAAAATAGCACTACTGATCAGAGTTAGAAATCATAAGAAACAACAAAATCATTGCATTTCCAACTTCAAACAACCATCTTGTATGAACCGTTCAGTCAGAAAACTTCACCAAATTGCAGCTTAAAATTGTCACTTTTATTAAAAAATCACTCGATGAAAAATTCACCAAAAATCACCTGTTTGCTTTGACCACATTAAGTAAAAAACAAAAAAAATGTAAGCCTCTTGGCACAACTGTTATTGACTCAGCAATGAGAAAAAGTCATGTGACAAACATTCAGTCATTTTTTGGCTGAACTGCAGGCTGTGTAGACGAAACATGGAAATATATCTATAGCATGTGATTGTTATCGTGTTATAAACTGTCCTGCTGCACAAAAGACATTTCTGAGTTCCCTCTCCTTCTAGTCAGGGTTGTGCTGCTTCAATAAATGCTGCAGGACTTTATATTATAGTAAAAAAATGTGAGGAAATGTGACAGGAGCAAAAAAAACACCCATAAACTGCCTCGAGGTCAGAGGGTAAATTCAGTTATTTAAACATTAGCTGCTATAAAACGCTGTTCAGATGAAACCAAGTAAAACCCTCCAATTAATGGGCGCCATTTATTTATCTTTAAATTCTAAATAAAAACGAACCAAGTGGCTCATCTGAGGTCATTTTTCTGATAAATCATGTTGGTGTTTCTTTTGTCTGGCTTCACTACGATTTCTGCTACCAGCGGAAAGCAAAACAAGCCAATAACAACTGCGTTTATTTAGGTTAATAATGCTGCAGGTAGAGTCACTCAGTTCACTGAGGAACATTTTCTTTGCTCCACAAAACCCTTAAAATAGATCAGCGCAGTTTGTTGTTTCAGGTGAACAGATACGAAGCATAAGAAGCTCACTCCATGTTTAAATAATATTAAGTTTCTGGAAACAAACATGTGAAATTCAGAAACAGAAGTTGCATCCACCCCGACTACCTCTCTGCCAGTTCTGTAGAAATCAGTGCAGGAGTTGTGTTTGCGTGACGAGCAGCAGAAAACCTTCTCAGGAGCCGTTTTATATCCAAATGAGAACGCTGCAGACGTAAAGTAAGACCAGAAGAGATAATGGAGGACTGTCACAAATTCCTCATTCGGAGCAAAGCGCTCGCTGCTCATGTTTAAGTCATGCAAAGCAAACCTCGGGAGCACCGACTTTAAAATATGCAGCGACGGAGCCAAGCAGCGAGGCCCTTGTCTGACATCTCTCTCACATCCAAATGTCCCTCTTCCACCTCGTCCTCCCACCAGGACTGCTGTGCATGTACACACACACACACACACACACACACGCACACACACACACACACACACAAATCCAAATAACTCTCTCGACTTATCAAACATTTTCCCTTCTTCTTCTTCTTTTTCTAATTTCTTCCCCCCCCTCCATCCCTGGCTCTCTGTCAGACACAAACGGCCTTATGTAACGAGGTGCAGAAGCCTCCAAGTCTTGGGGCACATATTTACCCAGCATGCACTTGGGGATTACAGAGTAAGGCCCCCTGCTTGCGAGGACAGTTCGGGACGGGACGGGCGAGCCGGCATGGGAGAGTCGAAACACCTCGAATGTTTCAGATGTTGTCAGACATGCTGCTGCGCTAATCCACCCCCGTGAACAGGATCAGGAAGTGCGGCCGCTGTTGAAGCGCCAGTTTGACGGCATATCCGCCGGTTGCGTGTCTGCCAGAGGGTTCACGCAGGGAGACGAGCCGAGCCACGGGAGGCGGCAGCGGCGGCAGCCTCAGTGGGGGGAAGCTGACTCAATGCCTCCCCGACTCTGTTCGCCCAGAACTCGTCTGTTTTTGCGCTAGTAAACAAATACTGAAGGCAAATAAGAACAACCT